GATGAAGACCTCTCCATATCTCTCCCGTCCTATGAAACCGAGCGCCGTCCCCCTTCCCGCAATACCCGAGTCCATTCCGCCATCCCGCCATCCTCCTCCCGGTCCCGACCCAGACCCAACTACACTGATCAATCCCCCGGTACCGCCAGGGACATGCAGCGGCTGGACCAGTACACTTCAGTGAAGATACTAGGCGAGGGGTCGTTTGGCAAAGTCAAGCTGGCAGTCCACCAGGCAAGCGGGAGGCAGGTGGCGTTGAAGATTATACCGCGACGGAAGCTATTGTCGAGGGATATGGTTGGGCGGGTTGATCGGGAAATACAGTATTTGCAGCTCTTGCGGCATCCGCATATTATAAAGCTGTACGTGCAAGTGCTTGGTTAAAATTCCTTTGGTTTTTGTTTTTTATTTATTTTTCTTTTCTTTTTTCTTCCAAAAAATTTTGGGGTGTGCTGTTTTTTGGCATTTTCTCTCTTTTCTACTGTTCTGAAGAAACGTATCTTGGTCACACTAACCGGATGGTTTTATCATGGGGATGGGGGAAAAAATAGGTATACTGTGATAGCCACAAAAGTCGATATTGTGATGGTGCTCGAATATGCAGAGCGGGAACTATTCGACTACCTAGTGAAACGTGGGCGGTGCAATGACGAGGAGGCACGCAAGTTCTTTCAACAAATAATCTGCGCTGTCGAATACTGCCATCGGCACAAGATCGTGCATCGGGACCTAAAGCCGGAGAACCTGCTCATCGACAAAGACAAGAATGTCAAAATTGCCGATTTCGGACTGAGCAATATCATGACGGACGGGAACTTTTTGAAGACGAGCTGCGGGAGTCCAAACTACGCTGCTCCCGAAGTTATATCAGGGAAACTGTATGCGGGGCCGGAGGTGGATGTCTGGAGCTGTGGTGTTATTCTCTATGTGTTGCTCGTGGGCAAGCTCCCGTTTGACGACGACTACATTCCCGCGCTATTCAAGAAAATTGCTGCAGGAAATTTCCACATGCCTTCTTACATCTCGACTGGTGCTGCACGGTTGATACGTGCCATGTTACAAGTACATCCGGTCCAAAGAATTACCATTCCAGAAATCCGTCAAGATCCCTGGTTTCTCAAGAATCTCCCCAAATATCTTCAACCCCCCGCAGAGGAGTGGGTTGGCACAGGAGCAAATCCCAACAGCACTTTTGATCCCCGCAGGATAGCGCCAGGACGAACCATTGCTGTGCAGGAGAAAATCCAGCAGATTGCGATTAGCAAGCTTCAGAAGAGAATGGGTGTTGACAGAGAGGACATATACGATGCGTTGAAAAAGCCGGAGCCCAGTGTGATTAAGGACGCATTCTTCATCGTGGTGGAAAATGAGATGATGCAAACAAATTGTAAGTGTTTTCGGTTTTTATTCGATTCGTTTGTGGTCAAATGAGCGTCCATGCTGATTTGCTTTTAGCTCCTACCGACTCTGAAGAATTATCCACGGGCTCCCCCGTTGCTACAGATACAGCGCCTACTCCTGGTGGTACATCAACTCGTAGTGCCAAAAGTACACCTGCCACACCTCTTGCTCTTCATCGATCCCAAGCATCTTCCTCGACAGTTGACGCATCAACGCCAACACCAGCATTCACTATGAATGAAGTCGAAGAGGAGCGTGTGAGCCATGTACGAATCCTACCGACAAGCCTACCATACGTTCACGATCAAATAATGGCCCAACGCGAGAGGGAGCGACATTCCCGCGACAGCGGAGAGTCCATGGAGGATTCGCGAGGGCGACCTCAGTTTCAAGACAACAGCGCTGAGTGCGACCCTGACAACCACAAGGAGAGGTCACCAGAAGAGCAAGCTGCAACTGTACGAGCTCTCAAGCCTCATGCGCGCAGCATTGTTGATCTGGAGAAGCTCAGTTTGGAGCCACCGGAAAGTCTGGAGAAAATACCATCGCAACCGAAGAGATCGCGCAAGTGGCAGTTTGGCATTCGATCGCGGAACCAGCCGTATGAAGCTATGCTTTGTCTATACAAGGCTATCAAAGGGCAGGGTGGGGTTTGGGAAATCCAGCCCGCTGAAGCAGGTAAGCGCTTTTCTCATTCAATTATTTCCACCTGATTTGATTTTTTATTTATTATTTTTTTTTTTTTTTTAAAAAAAAAAAAAAAAAAAAAAAAAAAAAAAAAAACATCTAACTCACACCCCTCGTACTCTTCCCTATATAAAGAAGGGCGAACAGGACCAAAACCAAGACCAGGAGAGGGCCCCCGAAATGTCCTCGAACTTCCCAAAACCCTTAAAAAAAAAAATACCCCAACCTCC